TTAGGTCAGACTTGGGTCCACCACCGGTCGGCCCCATCGAATATACATTTTTTTTTTTTTTTAATTATTATTCGTGTCATGTTACAATGTTACAATAAAATATAATATAAAGTCATCATATATGTTTTAAAATAACATGAAATCCAAAACTCTTGCACCACGCCTTGTGTACAAATAACAATTTGTGTGCTTACGATTAGATACTTAGGTAGGTATAGGTACTTGGGTTATAAATCACACATTAAATTATTGAGTTTTAGATTTAATAATTTAACAATTACGGATCATCAGATACCTAGGTATTAGCTATATCAGGTGACATGCTAATTACGTAGACACAAATAGGGGTGGGGGTGGAGCTTTAGGGGCTATACACACACCAAAAATGTTAATAGCAAACATTTCCTAATTTTTTTTTAAACTTATTAGAGTTGGGATTCCGCCCCTCCCCTCGTTCCCCAAAATCTCAAACACTAAATTATATTTTCACCTATAGATACATATGTTACCTATTATATAGGTATAGTATAACAGTAACCTTACAACATTAAATATTAATAGGTAACCTTGAAAACCAAGAACTATGGTACCTTACTTATTTATTGATATACTATATGTGGCCTCCGGCACATAGTAGTAGGTTTACAGGTTACAAGTGGCGTACCCAGGAATAGGCAATGGTGGGGGGGGGGTTATAACACATAACTAATAATATATGTTCATTTAATATTTAAATTTGTGATGGTAATTCCAAATACACAAATAAGAGAATGTATCGTCAATGGGAGGGGGGGGGGTCATATAATCTAGGAACGCCACTGCACAACTGCAGTTACTATAAGGTATAACTGTATGAGCTGTGATGTCGTGATGACATAAAAATTGACAACATATAGGTATTGAGGTATACAATTTTATACTCTGACTATGCAAACGGGTAAAACCCAAAATGCTAAGACGAATGGGGCCGGAGCTATTGGCCGTCGAAAACCAAAAGCCCCCCCTCAAGAAAAAAAAACCATTTGTTATTATGATTAATAATTAATAACTAAATAATGTTTTGAACTTTGGAGCGTTGCCACTCCCAAGCCAATTGGCCTACGGCTTCAAAACTGACACAGAAGTCTCTTCCAGTGGCGGAATTATGGGGATATATCCTCCCACAGAGGCCTTTTTTTTAGAATAACCATAATTACCGACAATTCTACAAAGCCCGAGAGTTATTCCCGTGAAGTAATTTTTTTCAATATAATATACCCTATAAACCCCCCTAAATAGTTATCGGGTAGTAGACTAGTGGAAAAGTATTATAATTGATGTGGAAACTAAAATATAAAATTTGATTTCCAAATTTTTTAGAATTGCGGAAAATTTGAAAAACTTGCACCGGGACCATTAATCTTATTTAATTGTTTACTTTATTGTCTTTGAAAACCATTATTATACCATTTACCTAATTTAATTTATAATAATAAATTAATATAATATTATGATTAATTATGAATAATTATGACATATGAGATTTAATGGTCAAGGGGGTGTAGGGGTATAGCCCCCCCCCACTAGAACGATAATATAAATGTATATCCCACCCCAGAACCAATTCCAAATTACGCCACTGGTCTCTTCTATTAGAATGTGTAATAAAACTTCACTGCGCTTTTCGGTCGTTAAGTGTAAAAAATGAAAAAAATCATAACCGACTCAAAATATTTCTTTTTTTGAGGTTTCCGTCTAGTGCCGCGAGGTTATCACTTTTTATGGTACTTACGGAAAGATGACTAAAATATTCCCTACGGCATATAGGATATAGGTACTAAGCGTATTATAATATAAAACATAAACATTTGTACATTTGATGTAATATTACCTTGCATGTATGCAGCTGATAGATGTATGGTATCTTGTGTTTTCTACTCGTTACAAAAAAATTTTTTTCCCAAATTTCACTACTTGATAAGCCTTTTTTTTTTGGTTTGATGCTTGGACAACTGAGGTCATTAGCCTGTGGAACTGTGGGGGAGGGTACTGTAGGTTTTGAACACGTGTGCGTTTGCTTTTGGCAGAATTTTTAAGTGGGCGGCTCTCGTAGGTATCTGCCATGCCCGGTTGGGGGATGGCGGCCTCTCTCTCCGGACACCGTGACTGCCCGAAGAAAAATGCCACCCGTGGCAAGTCGTAACAGACGCCTTAGTCCGCTCGGCTACTACGTCCCTCTATAAGTATTTTTATAGGCAGCTAAAAGATAAATCAAATCGTTTTTATTTTTTTAATTTTTAACTGTTAACCAAAAATAAAAATAGCATTCTCGATTTTTTAGATCACCTGGAAATGATTGATTAGCGTGTAGTTGTTGCTGGAAGAATGCCAAGGAGATTATATTCGAGTTTAGAAGATCCATTTGAGAAAAAAACGATGACAAGTTTTTTAAAAATAATTATCTAATCTTAAAAATGTCTCCAAGTGTCAGAATGTTAAGAACATGCAAGATTGCAATCAAAGATTGACTATACCCATGGGACTTTTCAGCAAAGATAATAATATATAGCATCACTTAGCATTATGACTGAGCAATATATGAAAACTGCAGTCATGGGTACCTAGTACCTACTACCATTGAGTAGTATATATAATATATATAAACTAGTATATTATATATACTAGTATAATCAATGCTACTACCTAATACTAATAGCCAATAGGCACTTATATTTTGAGTAAAGGTATCTATAATAATATACAATATTAATATTAAATAAGGTCGATATTCGATAACTGAATATTGATTCAACATCCAACATTTGAGAATTCGAGTTCTTTTAGCTAATTTATTTTAATTTATAACTATTTATGATATTATGTAGGTGCGCCAGGTGGGTACTTATACAGTCTTACCAAGTGCTGCTCTCCTTATTTAATGAGAAATTACTTAAAGGTCGACCGTCTCCGGAAATGTAAATTTAAAAAAATCTGCAGTGTATTTAGGTCAACAAAACATCTTTAAGTGTAGGTATAGTTATTCAGTGGCGCCCAAGATATATTTTTCAAGTATAGTTTCACATTTTTTTAAATTTACATAACACTTTACTTCATCATAGAAAAATTTCATAGGTTTTAAAACTGACAGTAATGAGAAACACCTTTCTCAAGATCTATGTGAAGATTAACAACAATCAATAATTTATTAAAATATATTATTATAAGCAAACTTCAAAAATTTTTTTTGGGGGGAGGACTGAAAAAATGGATGCCAAACAGACCCACGGCTCGCGAGGGCGAAGCACCAACACCCTTCTAATAGAAGGCAGAAGGCTTCTATAGTTCACAATTTTTACATATATATTGTCATTATTACTCAAACGTCTCAAACCTGTCTCGAGAGATGTGTAGGGGTGTTCAGGTCACCAAATAAAAATGATAGATAAGAAATTAATGCTAGCTAAAATCAAAAAATGTATGAAATTACAAACTAATTTTGTAATGTAAATTGGTCCTCTGTGTAAAATAATTAAATATTTAATATGTTCGGTGTCAGGGTTAAGTAACTAAGTTCAGTAATTGTGTGATATAATATTAAATGTTTATTTCTAGGCTAATATTATTTTATAGGTACTTTCATAAGTTTATAAGTGTACTCATAGTAAGTTGTAACCATTCTCTGTTAGAATGGATTCCTATTAAATTTGTAAATATTGTTAACCAGCTTTATTATGTGTTTATGTCTGAGTAATAATCTTCTGTAAATAATTAAGTATAAGCTATGCATGTTTTGTAAAAATGGATACAGCCAGTATAATAAAAGAAAATAAAATAAAACGAAAATAACCACTGATGGAGAGTATTACAAATTATTTTAAAATTATTTAGATATTGTAAATAAATGGTAAAAATAAATTAAAACAATTACTTTAATATTATTATGTATTTATGTAGATATATTTAAAATAATTTTTCAGCATAATTTACCATGGCCATGAATAGAGTAAGTAGCACTAAATAGTAGTGTGCAGATGACCGTAACGAAAGAAAACATAAAAAAATGTTTGATGATTATAAGAAGAATACAGCAGTTGAAACTTTGGAAGACAAAAAGAACAAAAAAAAAAAAAAATGAATTATTGACAATACCTTGTATGTATTGTGATTTTTTCATTCTTCGACTAATTTATTGTGTTTATGTATTATTATTAAAATCAGAAAATATACACCGTAAGTACATATATCATACAAACTGAATGTTAGTAATCTCTCTAGTAGGTAGCTCTGCATATAGGTAAGGGTACCTAATCTCATTTTGAATTCATTTGGGCGATTGTCAACTCTCCTGATTTTAATATTAAACAGTCTTAAAATAGTACGTATTGCAAAGGTACCAAATGCAGTTTTAATAAAATATTTAATTTATACTACAGATCAGTCTAGTTTAGTTTGAGAATCTATTATTATTATGTTTTTCATATATATTACCATCCTATTTGTCAAATTTCTGCAGAATGGTGTAATGTACTTTGGGTTTTAGTTTTATACATTATGACATTATGTAACTATGTAAGCACATTAATGTAATAACAATTCAGAGTGACAGTATACTTATAGTTATTTTTCTTACTTACTTTAATCTTTTAATAATTTTTTTTGGTAGGTACTACTGTACTAGTGTTGTATGACGTGATCTACCAATTAAATTACTTTGGTGTTGAATGCTATTATGTTGATACCGCCATATCAGATAGTAATTTAATGTACCTACCCATAGCTTGATAAAATGTCAACCTTTATAGCTCAATAAATTCCAGTTGTAAATATCTAGGTACCTACTACATTGTTAAAATAAATCATTTTTCTATATCCAGTTGACCCTACACATTTGACATTCCCATTATTTATTAAGTTAAATAGTTAATAATTCACATTATTTAATTATGTATGATGTCATGATGAACTATACAAACGGGCATGTTTTGGACTGTAAGTCATAATATAATATCAAATAAAGTATAATGGTCCTGGTTTTGTTGTGGAAATATACATCACTGGTTCAAGATCGAAGAAAATATAATAGACGTCAGAGAACGGATAAAAGTCAGTACTATATGCAAACCAGAGGCTTGCTCTTCTTGAGCAAATTTATGACAGAGAAAAATGAAAATGAAGAAAACATAGAACTTATTGGTGACAGTGAAGCCGATGATAAGACGGCTTAATGAAAAATTGACCAAGTAAAAGAAATTATGAATCTCGGATTCAATAACCATGCAGGGTTTTAAGGTTTACTTTGTCACAATAATGGTGAATTGGTTTGCAGGTTTTTTTGGAGTCCAAAAAAGAGACACAAAAACAGCAATTACATCATACTATCAACATCAAAATTCAAAAGAGGGTACCTTCAAACATTTTTTGAGATCACTTAATAGAAACTAGGTATTAAATGCCTGAGGAATGTTGTAAAAAAAAAAAAAGAATGGAAACAGACATAATAGAGCATCAGCATTAAAGAGACAACTGAAAGAAGATTGGTAGAGATATTTTCATAAACATTAGAAATGATGTTAATATATTTTATGAATTCCTTAACAACATTAAAACATGAACGCCCATATGTAAAAATTGAAAGAGGCAGGGAAAAATAAAAAAAATTCAAAATGTAAACTAAATAAAAGTTTAATGTTATATCAACATAAAAATGTAAATAATATACTATTATATGCAAAAATGTTAATATTTAGTAATTAATATTAATTGTATTGTTTTATAATATATAACAAAATGCGCTGAAATGTTTAATAACTACAGAAAAAAAAACAAATTAATAGCAAATCAAACAATGTAATCAAATTTATTATTTTGTAACGGTAAATAAGAACTGCTTTAACAATTTATTATTTTATTTGAAACTTAATATTTACATCCTGAATGAAACTATTCTTGTACAAGTTCATGCTTTCATGCTAAAAATGTATTAAATTATAAATGCATATATTTTTTCCATTGGAGAGTCAATTGTCACATCTTGCCACGCTCTACCACCAATGGACGTCCATGAATTAAGGCAACATTTTTAAAAGATATTATTTATAGTTTAATATATAAACACAACATTGACGCAACATACATATTTTATAAAACTTTTAAATAAATGTGAACAAATATGAATGTAATAATAATTTTAAAAGTGACTAGTAATAGCGATAAGCTATAGTTTATTTTATAAAAATATAAATTTTTATACTTAGAGATAATGATTAATTAATGGGGGTTGATAGCTTACAACATTTGTACATTTTTATATTTTAGTAGATTTCATTCAAAATTAAATAATACCATGTGGTTATAATATATAATATATTTACTTTATTTCTGTTGCATACATATTAAGTTTACCAATTGTTTTATACAATAAGGTTTTTAAGAGAAATTATATTTTAGTTTACTAAAACTAATGAAACAGTTCCAGATTATACTTATGTTGTAAAGTTATGTATTACAGTTTTAATTAGAAATATAGCAATTTACTTAATTAAGATTATTGTTTACCACATAATATAAATAACAGTAATTATAACAAAAATTCAAGATAAATTCCAATTCCTCACATAAATAAAAACATATTTTTAAAATATCATATGGACGATGGAGCGACCAGTCTTGCTTGTTTATTATTTTTTTTGAACCAATCAACAGTATCAGCAATAGCTGTTTCTAAATTGGTAAATTTAAAGTTTGGTAACAATTTTCTAAGTTTATCATTACTAGCAGTTTTTTTGATCTGGCCATCTGCAGCACTAGTGTCAAATTCTAGAATTCCTTGAAAATTAAATGATTTTGCAATCATTTCAGCTAATTGACGAATTGTTATTTCATCTTTCTCATCCACTGAAAAAAATACAAAAATAAGATTTCATAGATAATTTATTTTATTATCATTAAGAATTAAGATAAGATTTGGGATATGGGCCATTGGTAGATGGTAGATCATAATATACAATGGATAGAGCTACTGCCTAAATATTTGAAGCCAACATACCTAAGGGGAAAATGGGCATGTGCGCAATTTATATCACACATTCAAGCTCACAATCGGTAAAACCATTATCACGTGCAATTTATATCACCTCCAGTTTAGTGATATAATATGTTTATGATAAAATATATGCGATGAGTAGTGATACGCATGCACAATAGATATCAGTCAACTGGCGACTCAGCAATAATGATATCTTCAACATGTAGTACGCGTTTATAATGCAGTAGATCCATCCATAGTATATGAACTAAGATCACAATTATGTGTTATAACTTATAATAAAATTAATACCTGATAAGATGATGGGTTCAACATCATTATAATTCCTTAACACCCAAACAAACAGCCTGGCAAGATCCAGTGAATAAATAAATTGTCGCAGAGGTTTTCCAGATCCCAGTACCACAAATTTATCAGCTCCTGAAAATTATATAACCAAGTTTCAATAAAGAAATTACAATTTACATACAAACATATGAAATCATATCCACAGAATTATTTCTAATATTATAAATTATAAAATTTATTTTGGCATGTTCAGTGTAAAAACTATGTTAACTATATTAATATTTAATCTATACTAATGAATTAATAAATTATTATATAAAGATGTAAAATTATTTGTCTGTTCAAGGTAATTTCTGGAATCAGTTAACCTATTTTAAAATTTTTTTTACCATCGGAAGCCATACAATCCCAATGATTTACAGGCTATATTTCATCTCAATAAGTGGTCTTTATTTTTTTTTATTGCAAATTTGATTATTTGTTATATAAATAATATAATTTTGTTTATTTTAGGGTTACAAAAAGTGAAATAGTTACCTATAAATATTAAATATAATTTTAGACCTATATTTTATATTTGGTCAAAACAATTCTGTATTCATTAATCTGAACGCTAAGTTTTCAACCGTTGTCCTGGGAACCTACACATGCATATCATAAACACTGTGACAAAGAAGAAATAAGTAATTGGCAGTGTTGGGTAAATTACTTTTAAAAAGTAATGAAATTACATTACTTTTTACTTCAAATATTTTTATTTAAATTACATTTGCGTTACCTAAAATTATTTTTATCACGTTACATTACTTTTTCATTAATAAAGTAGTGCGTTACAAACAACATTACTTTTTTTATCATTTTTTTTTTAACTATATTCAATTTATATGTATATATTTTACAATCATAGACCTATTATAGTATTATGTACAAAATATGTACAATCATCTTACCTAAATAGACTATATCAGGGATGGCAAATCCATGGCACGCAAAAAGATTTTGAGGGCACGCAAAAAATTAAAATATATTTACTATAATATATATAATATAATATTATAATAGGTAAAAATATTTTGAGCATACGGCTTTTATCGGTCAATAACGATTATTCAATTTTAGCTGTAGATAAAATAATAATATATTTTATATAATATATAATTTTCCATTTAGTATCTTATCTACGTTTATTGAGAGTAATAAACCTACCCTCAGTATACAATAATCAATACAAATACGTCTGTCAATCTGTAAGTGAGCTGTGCTTGAAATTTAGCGTGATAGGGCGATATGCAAATTGGTCTAAATCATAGGGAACAAGATTTTGAGTGTGCGGAATGAAAATCCAAAAGATTATTCCACTTTAAAAATAGTAGCATTAGCTGTTTTGTCTATTTTTCTTCAACATATTCATGCGAGTCACTATTTTCAGAAATTAATTTTATAAAATCTGATTTAAGAAACCGACTAACTGATGAATGCAGTGTAGCATGTACTTTATTAAAAGTTACTAATTATAAGCCAAATATCAACGAATTGACATCAACTATTCAACAACAAAAATCACATCAAAATAAATAATTAGCAAAGTAATAATATTATAATTGTATGTAGGTACCTAAACCAAACTTTTTCATACTAATACATTATTATACAATCAAATAACGAATACTTTCATGGCACCCTCGAGCAAAAAAAAAGGTAATTTTTGGCAAGTAGTGTTCAAAAGGTTTGCCACCCCTGGTCTATATAGACATAAATCATAATTAATTTTTATTAAATTGTGTTAAAAATATTTAATGGATAGTAAGTTGGGGTAAATCCATGGGAATTTGTCACAGGAAGATTTGAATACCACTATGCTGGTAGTAAATGACAAATTGAACACAAATTTTGAATTATATATAAGTGGTATTTTTAATGGACAACAAGGTACATGGGGGATCAGCTAGTATTTAATAAAACAGTTAAATATATATTTTTTTAAATTAAAACTATTAAATATGAAATACATACACTAAACACTAAATTCTTCTTCTGTATGTTCAAAAAATATTTCTATAATAGTAAAATCGGCAGGGTTCATAAGTTCATGCATTTGCATATCAATCTTGCTAAGTTGTATTTAATACCAAATGATGTAGAAATAAAATTCAATGTACCATGGTTAAGTATGTGAAGTTTTATTTTGCATATTTAGAGGTGTTTTGCCTACTTGCCATATTTATGCGTTTTTCTATTATATTGGGCATATTTAGTGTAACATTTATATTTCACCACTGTATAAAATATAATATGAGAATTGTTTTAAAATGTTTGAATTTACATTTAAAATTAACACTGACTGGATATTTATTTTATTAAATTATTATTTATTAATAGATATTTTTTAAATTTATTTTTTGGAATTTCATTTAAACAAATAAAACATAATGAATGGATTGATATATTTACTTGTTATTACAAACATTTCTTATGATTTTTGCATATTTTTAGTGCATATAAATGCATTTTTCTGAACTATTTAAGGCATATTTCAATGCATAAGTGCATGCTTATTTAGGTAACGTTTAAGGCATGAACTTACAAACCCTGACAATCGGTAACCAAACAATAATATGTAGACTAGGACTTACTAAATGTACTGTTAGTCGTGATATTATAAAATGCATTATACACTAATGCAAATATGCAATAATTTTAAACTGTTTTGACTCATTAGTGGGGTATTGAGTAGGAGGTGGAAAAAAAGTATCTACTCATCTTCTGACTTTGTGTACCACTAATAGCTCAACTTCAAATTAAAATACTGATGATAAATGATTGCATCGGTGTTGCCTATTAATAGTGTTTTACTAATCTATGATAATAATACATTTTTCTTTTAATAACTTACCTTTATCTAGAGCTATATGGAGTCGATGAATGAGAGCTGGTACAACATGGGCATTTTTCAAGTCAAAATTGTCATGCGGTCCAAACACATTACATGGTACAACAGAGGTAAATATTACTCCATGTTTTTGGTGGTATGCTTTATTTGCGATATCTAATAGTCGCTTGGCATAGCTGTAACCAAAATTGGATGAATGAGGAGGTCCATTATGAATCTAAAATATAGGTATTGCATGATTACATTTTATTGTAAAATCGTTTATAATGTCTAATAATGTACAACCAATTTGAAAAAAAAAAAACAAAATAGTTGTAAGCAATAAACATATTATTACATTCCAATAAAATTATATTTTTATTTTATGTTAATATCATAGATAAAATTGTTATAACAATTATTTTAGACAAAGTATTCTATATTATGGCCATATTTTGTGGTGATACTTGAAGATAATTGGCTCAATAGAAGCCAAGTATACTTAGTTTTGAGCAATGGGAAAACGTCAGTGATGGTGATTATAAATTATAATATTACTTCTTTGCTAAAATATTAATTATTTTATATAGGATTTATGATTTAAATTTTGAACATGAGGTATAACTATTGGTTTTTACTACTTTTTAGTAAATGTTGAGAATCCAAGACTGAACTAAATTATCAAATAAACAAAATATTATTTTTCCAATACATTCCAAATAAGTTTGAAAAAACTGCGCAGCCTCGGAAGGCTACCGCTGTCATTGGCAAGTAGTCGTCAATGACCGACGTCAGCCACTGCACTTGCGTGAACCGCGACGCGTTTAAAAGTTTTTTCCAAACTTATTTGGAATAAATTATATTCAATATTTATCAAATAATAAAATATTATTTAATTGTCTGAATAATCAATAACACTAAATTTACTTCAATAGTTTCCAAAAAATCAAAGTTTGAATGATTGAGAGCATGAGACTATATTATAATTATTTGAGAGTACAAATTTCTTTTTAAAGTATAAACCGTATTTAATTTATATTATATTAAATTCTGATATTTCAAAATATTTCAAATTATAAATAATAATACCATAGTTTCATTTATTGGATATGATGTCTTGTCTGGAAATATACACGTAGATAAACACGATACTACTTTTTTTACATTGTACTGAAAACTAGTTTCTAGTATATTGTCGTTTATGTGTATATTTTTGCGCTGAAACCAAATCAAAAAAAATCACCATTTATTAAGTATATAATTAATTAATACAATAAATTTAAATGTGATATTCTAAAATTAAATATATTGCCATAATGATTATTGTATTATGGTATTTAAAATACTATCTTAAGTAAAAACATTTTGACAGTAGGTATGGTACTTACAAAGTTTATGTAATATTTTTATTTTTGTTTTTTGGATAATATATTATATGGAATTATAAAAATCATCAAAACTATTGAGAATACAAAAACCTTAATTTTTGTCTTAGCAATTTTCATTTATTCAGATTAGAGAACAAACAATTATTAGAATTAGAATTTACTTAAGGGGTATCAATTTATTCATGTGTTTTTTTCTTTCAGTAGTGCTAAATTTTTTTAACATTTGGTGTGTGAAATAATTCATAATAGATATTTGATAATAAATATTGCTAAAATATACCTATTAATGTAAGTTCATTATAAAATTAAAAAAATGTAAGGCATATAGTTATGATTTGAATTTGATTTTTCTTATAGTATTATGTAAGCTAAAAGTATCAAAACTAAGTTAAGAGATTAAAATTTTAATGAATACTAATTTAATTAAGGTATCTACCAAAAAGTCCAAATTGTTGTCCATATTATGAAATAGACCACCAACCATAGCAGCCAAGTGTATGACATGGGTAGGTTTGTATTTTTCAAATAAGTCTCTTGTCGCTTGTACATCACTGAAAAAATTTGAACGGGAAATAAAATTGTTCAAACATCATTATCTGTTATTCACTTGAGATCTGCCTCTTTGGAATTAGTGAATATCCATTTTTCATCGGGTAACGCTTCGTTTTGTGTTTCAACAATGGTTCTGATGGCGCTGCCCACTAGTCCCGATCCACCAGTAACTAAAATGACTTTGGCCATTCTGAAAACAGTATATTATATTATTTTACATCAGTCAAAAACAAACGACCAAATATACATTTATCAAAACGTGTTTGTGACACAAAATTAGGACAAGAGCAAAATGTTCGAAAACTTAGGTGTGCATTTGTTATCAAATTATTAAAGATTAATATTCAATAGTTATGTGCAGCTGGCTTTTGAGTTTTAACTTTTGAGTTATTTAAAATTAAAAAACAGATTACGTGCACACTTTTGAACGACATTCGAGTATTCCAATGTTTACAAATTACTGTTTACTGTCTGATTGGAATCCTTATCATCTTATCATTATGGCTGATAAGCAATAATAATAACAGCATAACACAGAATGTGATAATAATTAAATAAAGTGATATCATTATTTTTAATTATTACGTCTAATGTCTATTAAAATATGTATTTTATCTTTTACTTAAATACTAATTAGTAATTACTATTTGTTTTGTTAAAATTAATTTATTAATTATAATTATAGTTACTTATTTAATAAGTAATAATCATGTTTAATTGCCCAATTTGTGATGTTAATTAATATTATAATTAATAATTGGGAGTCCTGTTTAAAATATTAGCATTTAAAAACAAAACATAAAGATACTTTATGTCTTTATTCAATACAAAAAAAAAAAATTCGGTACCAAGTAATGTAGGTACCCATAGTCCAAGTAACCCACTTATTTCTTAAGGAAAATAAAAACAACCCTAAAAAATGTAAATAATATTATTTCCTAATTCTACTTATCTAACACTAACAACACATTAGGAATTCACTAAAAATAACAATAATTTGAATTTTGAAGCTGAAGTAACACTTTCAAAGCTCTTAATTTAGGAGTTGAAAATTTGGATTTTTTTTTATTAAATTATGGTTTTCCCTTCGCCAAATAACATCTGCTCCATGGTACGGTCTCAAAACTCTCACTACATACAAATCTTAATATTGAAACAGTCTCTAAAACAGCTAAAAATTATTATAAAAATGTCCATACCAAAACAGTTGACCACACAAATCCTTTGATTTCCAACTTAGCCTGTGAATTCATGCCAAATAACCCCCCACGTCGATTAAAAAGACACTTGTGTCGTATTGATTATTGTAGACTTGTAATTTTGGTAATAGGATGTGTGAAGGGAAAAGCCAGAGCCACCGTCATGGCTTAGTGAGGCATTTACAAACATAGCACCCCACATTATATATATAGGTCCTGTTATGTCTATAAAGTACTTGTTTGATGATTCATTATAATATAAATTACAACTTGGTTGAGTACGTTTTATAAATGTATAAAAATAAATCACATTCAGCCAAATCAAAGGATATATAAACCATTTATAAATCACCTATAACGTTTAATAATAAATGATAAATTTTAATTTCACAAATATACATAGTATGTTATAAAATATTATAATAGCCGAGCTGAAATATTAAAAACCTCCAGCAATTTAAAACTGTGAGTACACAGCTGTTATTGTTCATTAAGGCATTTGGGGAAAATAAACGAATAAATCAAATAAAAACTGAAAATGAATAACAATAAAAATACTCGACGTGTTAAAGAAACGACACATGTGTTGTCATCTTGTTTTTTCTCACGTTTTTGATTTTGACGCACTAACTTCTTGTGTTGAATGAAATGCTCAATACATTTATTATAAATAAAAACGTAAAAATGGATTGTTAAAAAACAAAACAAGCAATTTGATCTACTAATTAGTGCCGTACAAATCTAGTCGCAGGTGGTGCACAGAACTGGGGCCTGCCGGATCGAAGGGCCTAATGATGTCAACAGATGATTTTATTTTATTTGCCATTAATATGATTTATAATAATTTTATTATTTCCTTGCTTCAATTTCATATAATGAAAATGTAAAGGCCTGGTCGGTTTTGACTTGGATTTGTTTATCTAAATATATTGGGGAAATTACTCAGCCTATAATGACTTCTAAAATAGATTTGTTGATTGTTTAAATGAGAAAATTATTTATCGATCCTTTAAAGTTCAATACATCCACCAATAGTATCCTACCTTCAAAGAGTAAAAAATACTCATATTGTGAAGTCAGTCACTCAGTCCGTCTTTATTATGTATCAATTGTATGATGCTCAAGCTAGATGAGGGTTCCGTCCATAAGGTACACATATTTTTTTTGCACCTGGGTCTTTGGCTCTATAGTTACAACTTACAGCACTAGCTCTGTTGTAGGTTTATTAGGTGTCTAGATGACTAGATGAGTTACTGTAATGGATGTGTTAAATTTGAATTAAATGATGTAAAATCGTCGTTTACGACAACGATTTTGAGCGAAGACCGTCATCCTTTATTACTAAGAATATTTTATGATATTATTGTGATTAAAGTAATTTATTTTACTATTAGCACTACTAGGTATAAGTTAAATACATTTTCGATGAAAAAATGCATTTGAAATTGTCAATAAAAAACCTGTTTTTATATATTTTTTAGATTTTTTGGTAACAAGAAAAACTATTTATGAGAACCCTTGTTTAACATTTTCAATCTGTAGCTACTAAAATTGAACATTATATACATTTTTAACTTCAAAATACTTTGCAAATTTCGGAATTTTGATGAAATTTATCAAAATTTGAACTTTAAATACTTATAAAAAAAAACCATGCCTACGCATGACCGGCGCTAAGTATTTTGCCGCCCTATGCAGTTAAAAAAATAACGCCTCTTTCAATAATTTTAGCCATAAATTAGTACATAGTATTATTTGTACCAAATGAACAAAATGAATTATAAACTTTGCTACATTACATTTTACATTGTTACACTTGATAATATTATTTTCTCAAAAGTTTGTTATGCACATTTATAAAAATAAATGGTAGTTCATATTTATAATTAATATATAATTCTTACAACAATAAATCATAATTCATAAATGTTTTCTTGCTTTTAACTTTGAAAAATCGTCGACAAACTCTTTCTCTGTTAATTCTTGACCAACTTCGTGTTCAACTGAGATCATGGCTAGACCACAAAGCCGTTCGTTTTTCATTGTTGAGCACTTGAGAGTTGAGAGTAAATATGTTTTGATCTGACATAGTGTAGCTTCTTTAATTTTTACTATATAAATAAAAAATATGATTTGCAAAATAAGCATGTCACCAAAACATGGATAAATGATCTATTAGTCTGTATTTAATATTTGTTGCTTGAAAATTGACACTTTTCATTTTCTTATAAAAATCATTTCGAATTTCTTATAGAAAATAATTTGATAGTTTTAAAAAATGTATAATATACTTAAATTGTTTTTAAATATATGTATGACGTACCTATGTAATACGGTTGAATTAGGTACATAAAATAGGAACACAAAGTATGCAAATAATACAGTTTTTCAAAACCCCGAATAATACAATTATTATTATTGACTATACTAAAGTCAACGGTCAACTCAAATAATAAAATAATAATGTAGCTATTAGGTTTTTTATTTTAAAAATTAACTTCCTAAATATCTTAGATAAAATATAATTTAGTTCACACGTAGGTTACGTACATTTAAAATTTAAAATCAGTTATCGGGATGTATTATTTCTTAATTTTCCATTGTATTCAAATAAATTATCTACTTAATATTAATAACTGTAAAATTATTTAAAATAAAAAAAACACTCACCAAATTATAAATATGACGTGTTGAATGTTGATCGACTAAATAATATGCACTCTATAATCGTTGACGTTACGACTCGTTGACAATAGACTATGTATAGTTCGATAGTTGCACGATAATCGTGGATAGTTGTCACTTGTCACAAGTAAAGTAGTTTTTATCGCTGATATTTATTGATTATTGTGTATACGTTTTTGGTTAACTTTATCGTGATTTGATTCAGTTCATGTTTGCTAATTGGAAACCACAAAGATAATCGTGAAACACGAGCATCAATGCTAAGTGCTAACATTATAATATTATCTATTAATATCACTTACTTAGTTACTACATAAAATGACACAGGACCATTCAAAATAATATAATAAGAATTATTTTTATTTTAGATTTACAGTGAGTAATGGTGAAAAATACATATTTTTGTTTAGAAACAATGCCGTCCCTTAAATTTCAAAAAAAATTGCCGCCCTGTGCGGTCGCACAGGTCGCACTTGCCTTCCGCCGGCCCTGTGCCTACGTATCTTTATCATTTTTTAACCAATATTATAACAAGTTATAAGGAACCCTGTATTAGATTTTCAAGCTTTTTGACCTATGAGTTATAAGTTAAGTTAATTTCAACTTATTAACTTAACTTATTAGTTTGCTGTTTTAACTAGCTTAACTTTAACCTAACTCATTTTTATCTATTGTCGTTCATGGGAACAAACCTCCTATGTGAAAAAAACGTAGTTTTCAGGAAACACGAAAAACGTTTTAAATAAAGAAATGATATAGGAGTTATTTCATAAACGATTTATAGTTGGTAAACTAGAGATGTTAAATTTCAGAAATTTACTTCTGAAAAAATTTCCTAAAATATATGTTTTTTAAAAATTAAATTTTAATTTAAAACTTAAATTATTTGTTAATTAGCTTTAAAAAATTAAAATTATTCTTTAAATTTAGATAAATATTTTATTCGCTAATTTGATCTAATTTTTAAATGGTATCAGTTTATATCACACACATTTTATATTTTCCCGCTAATATAACAAGCGTCTCGGGGGGCAAAATTGAGCGACCAATCTGAATCGTTCACATTTGCTATCACGTTTCTCATCATCCTTTATAAAAATTATAATATGATTATATAATAATTCAATGATTCAATGACATTTTAATGAGCTGAATCACATGAACTGGTTCACTAAAATGAATTGAAAATACCCATCAGTATTCAATATTAAGATCTAGAGATAGTTAACGTGATAATTGGAACAATTATTATAAAGTTACATTTATTTTATTTTATTATTTTTCCGAAAAAACAGGGAAAAACCGGGTTTTTTTCTTAACACTTTTTTTTTTGGAAATTTTGATCCCTAGTTTTAAATTTAGGTATATTTCATTTGGGCATTAGGAACATAATAATAATAATAATATAAATAAAAATAATTACATTATTTATAAACCATAAACTTTGTTTGAGAATCTGTATAAATATTTAAAAATGCGTTTGTAGAATTTCGTGATTTTTATCAATAAAAAATGTATCTAGATGAATTTATTTAGATTAGTAAAAAAATTATCTAAGATGAACTTTTAGATACCTTGTTACTATTTATCTAGATAAGATAAAAGATTAACAAATAATTATCTAGATAAATTTATCTATATAAGTCCGAACACTGCATATGACACAGTTAATCATAACCTTCTGATCTCTAAGATCAAGGATCTAACTAAAGATAATACACTTGCCAGGACAATAAACACCCTTCTCCGTAACAGACGATATTGTGTAGAACTTGAAAGAAAGTTAAGTAGATAGAGAATTCAGAAAAATGGACTCCTACAAGCTAGTGTACTAGCACCCACACTCTTTAACATATACACCAATGATCAGCTGATACTTACTCAGGCTGTTATCAAACATTTTATATATGCTGACGATACAGCCCTAGCAGCCCAAGGTGACAACTTTCAAGATGTTGAAAGTACACTAGAGGAATCACTCAGGGTATTGTCTGATTACTACGATGAAAACTTCCTAAAACCGAACTCAACTAAGACACAAGTCTGTGATTTTCATCTTAAAAACAGATAGGCAGACCGAACTATGAAAATCGAATGGCGAGGATCCATATTAGAGAACTCTGCACATCCCACATACCTACCTAGGCGTTATGCTAGACAAATCCCTAACGTATAAACACCACTATAAGAAAACTAAGCTAAAAAATGCCACAAGGAACAATATACTTCGGAAACTCACGGGCTCTACGTGGGGGAGGAACTCGCATGATTACGTATATCTGCACTGTCACTGTGTTTCTCTTCTGGGGAATATGCCAGTTCTGTGTGGAGTAGGTCCCTCCACACAAAACAAATAGATACCATTCTGAATGAATCCTGCCGCTTAGTAACAGGTTGTCTTAAGAATACTCCACTTCCTAAGATCTACCAACTCGTTGCTATCGCCCTACCAAACATCTGCCGGGAGGTCGAAGCAGACTGGGAAAGAACCAAAGCAGAAACTGACATACGACCCCCATTACATAGCCAAATCACACCTAATTTCAGACTTAAATCCAGAAAAAGTTTTCTAAAAACGACAAAACTTCTAAATAAACACTCTGAAGAGGTACGAAGAGAAAGGTGGAAACTTTCTCTCTCCAAGGAAAACAATAAACTAAAGTTCGAACCAGCAGAACTACTGCTAGCAGGATACGAATTAGACTGGCCAAACTGGAGGTCAATTAATAGACTCAGAGTAGGAGTGGGCAGATCTAAAAACAACCTAAAGGAATGGGGCATCCTTCAAGACGTCTCAACAAAATGCGAGTGTAGTATGGAACAAAACATAAAACACCTATTGAACTGCCAAAGCTGCCCATTTTCATGTACGAAAGTAGATCTCCTGTATGCAAATCCAAATGCTATCGAAGTAGCAAGATTTTGGTCAAGGGTAATTTAAAACTAAAACAAACATACTAACTCTGACAACTATGTTGCCATAAATTACAATAAATTCTATTTATATTTCTTATTATATTTGTTAACCAATTTATGAATTTATTATATTTTATTATTTATATCCATATAGACTCTGAATTGTATATATTTATTTTTACTTATCTAATTATGATTTATCACCATTTGTTTGTACTAAAAATAAAATAGTTTAGGAGAAAAGTTAAAAAAATTGAAATTTCAGCCGACGTTTTTATGGACTCAAGTGGTTATACCGCTTGGGTGTGATATCAAATCTCTCTCATTAATATTTTATATTAAAGCTATCTAAATTACCCACCTACTTGTAATTACTGAGTTACATATTTATTATTTTATTATTTAACTCAAATTCTTAAAGTTTTCATTATGCAGACTTTTTTAATTTCATTAAAATAAAAGTAAATGAAAACTAAGAATATAAGTGTCATTCAATTAATGAGTTAAAATATTTGATTTTACATACTGATTTAAGTTAATTATTTATAGGGCTATGACAATTTATAACATTACATTGGCGAACATTAATTTCTTTTTTTTGTAAATCAATTTTTTTACCATTGTTCAAAATAATTTGAAATCTGAAAATGTTTCCAAATGTATGATGTTAGTTTTTCAAACTATTGATTATCAGCTTAATCGTGATTTTGATATCATCAATTAGTCATCTCACCTAACACAGTAACCCGTCAACTTACCTGAGTTCCTATAATGTACAGATCTAATTAAAATGTATTATTTCAGGGGAAACATACAATAATATATCAGACAATTTTGAAATTATTAATTATTCAATGCGTTGTATAAATTGTACCTATTCGGAGTACCGAAAGTTAATTAACCTATAGGGGACTTACAGATCCACCAAAAATAATATTTGTGTAGGTGTGTATGTTTTAAAAATAACATGTTATGCGTAATAGTTGATGTCATAATAAATCTCCGTGCAAAAATAAATAGTAATTTAAAACAATATACAAAAATAATTATGTATAAATAATACACGTCAAACGTATTATTTATAGCAAGTAAATCAATTTTAAAATATAATATAATTTATTGACTTGTTATGTTGTTGTTCTTAAAAAAATATAGATATGTATAGAATGGACGGTTTTTGGAAGATAGTTGATTATGATATATAATATAGTATTTTCGTCAAAGTTCACCATCTAGGCAAATTTCACTATCTGGATATCCAGTTCATAAAATAAGTACCTAGTTATTTTCTTTGTCTATGGTGATACCACTATGTTGATGCGACAAAGGTAGGTACATATTAATTATTAGAATTCTAGGTTAGGCCGTTTTAACAATTTAAATATGATCTATTATTTCTTAAAAGTCTCGAGATTCGCCTCAAGTATTAGTTTGTCAGGTGGGCACATAAATATATTTAGAGGTTTTATCGTCGATAATCTATATGAAAATACCAATTCATACATTTCGAATAAATTGCTGTTGAAAAAATAGGAACTGTAAGCTATATCGACGTGGATTTGACACTGAGATGATATTAGAGAGATATAGGACTTTTGGCACACACTATACGACGGAAGTTAAATATTAATTATTTTTGTGATCATTCGAAAACCAATTTGCATAACCCTACCACATTTAGAACCGGCAGCCGTTTGGATATAAAAACGATATGCATACCGATCGAAATGTAAGTTAATAAGCTACCAACGCACACACAAGTTATAATTATCACTAGAATATCGTTTATCGTGCACCGCCTTCCCCTATAATATATTATACTTGTCACGACAGTAATATAAAATACACACACTCATTCACTGAATCAACTTCGAGTCACCACTGCAAGCGATCCATCGAGGAGCCGATTTCGAAATATCAGATATCGTACTGCAAGTTGGTATAAAAACAAGAACAGTATGTTTTTGTTGAACGCCGCCGCGGCCGTGCCCTTGATCGGTTTCTTCTTACTGTTTGATTTCTTATACTTGTACTCGCCCATCGAATCGATGGAATCCGGTGTTATCTTCAAATCGTGCAATGCTTGTCTGATTTCGGATTGTCACGTCAAAGATAATAGGCCGTGCTATACCAGATGGGCCGCCGATTACAATTTCACATGTTTCTATTGTAAGCCCGAATTTGGCAACAAACAGTTCTTCACCGAAGAAGATTGCTTGAAGGGCTGCACGGACGAGTCGAAGCATTGCGTTTGCGACTTCTATTGTTACATGTGCGTCGCAAAAGAAGGCTTCGATAAGGCCAATTTCACGGGGTGCCTCGTTGACCCAAACGAGCAAATAGACTGCAAATAAGTTCCGTACGGCACCGCCAGCACGTTCACCGTGTGATTTCAATTAAAATAATATTATAATAAGTAATAACTTGTTTTCAATTACGATATTTGTTTTTAAAAAATCAGTGTAATATTCTATCATTCTATGTAATATACTTATCCGATCACCACCGTGAAGAATTTAATATTGTTTTCATGGTTTTACTTTGTAGTTTGCATTATATTCTCGCACAATAGGAAGGTATAGCCGCCGCCGCAGTTACCGGTCGTCGTGCATAGTATTATTATTGTTCTGCAGTAGTGGTGAGTAAACTATTTTTAAAACTACCCTACCGATTGGTTGTATTATAAATATTATAAATATATGCCAGTCACTCGTTTCTCCAAATTTTTTCGAGCTGTGTGCAAAAAAAAAAAACAATGAAAATACGAAAATTCTTTAAATTATATTAGGTATTGTTATTTGATATTCTTCACGATTTTATCTATTGTATCATTATTATTATTATAATATTGTACATAAGATTATAAACGTTTGTAATAATAATATATTGTGTAATCGGTGAACTTAAAACACTCAATGTATTATTTCATCAACAGGTACTAAACTCCATCACGTATATCTTTGTTCTTTATTAATTTATTTTCTGAAATTTCTGAGCCCCGTCGTATTCGAATGTTGTAAAGCTGCAAAATATGCAGATGCGATTTTTTCAAATTTCAATTTATTTGAAATGTATGATATAAAATTGCAATTTTTTCATAGATTTCCGATGATAAAACCACTCTTCTAAATAGATTTATATATTACCTTAGTACCTCACATTGGTAACTTTACCGGTTCCGTGATTCGTGTTATGTTTGTAAATCGTGTTATCCCAATGGCTTTTTATTTTAGTTGTACAAAACAAAAATGTATATAAAATAGTTATATACATATTATATTCATTATACAGATGAAATGTTTTAAAGGTACGGTTTCGTTTCTGCAGTTGACTGCAGCAGTCATACAAAATATCGGTGCAGTCGACTGCAGACTACTGGTGCTCAGACCAGTCTTGCAGTCGACTGCTGCAGTCAACTACGTTAACGAAATATGAGTAACATGAACAACATGAATCACGGGATAGAGAAAGTAACCAAGTGATTATATCATATCACACAATTATAATCACCTATATTACAGTGGGCGAGGCACGTTTGGGCCAGGGACGTTTAGGCCACTAATAAAAATGCAACCCGTTTGGACCAGAATTTTGTGAACCCGTTTGGACCAATTTTTTTAGTACATTTTGTACTTCTAATTTCTAAATAATTACTAGAAAGTCCGCTTAGGCCGTACGCGCGCTCTTTTAGTTTACATTGGTTAAGCTTAAGTATCGGAGAGCAAAACGCGCCATCGTCGGAGTAATAAGATGTTCAGTTTAACTGTGTAAACTAATTTGTAATTTGTAGATTATGTACAGAACTAAATTATTTATAATTGATAACTGACCAAAAACCCACAGTTATATTATACATCATACGTGTAATACAATAATAGATAAATGTTTCGAGCAGCTCGAATTTAAATAGTTCATTAAAAAACACAACATACCTACTACATGCACGATGGGCACAGTATAAAAATGGTGAGATATCTCAATTGACGTATTTAAAGATTATTGGACAAATGTTTCAAGCAGCTCGAATTTAAATAGTTCATTAAAAAAATATATTTTCGTAATTCAGTCGACTCGTATTTAAAAATTTAATAATTTGTACCTAATGTACCTATTTATTTTTTTAATATTATACACAATTAAATAATAATAATAAAAATAAGAAACAGCATTTTTCACCATGCCGAAGACAGTCCTAAGCCTGTTAAAAATAAAATGGGAAGGAAAATGCTGGTCCAAACGAGTTGTATAAAAGTAATATTTTTTAGTCCAAACGGGTCTTCAAAATTGGTCCAAACGAGTGGTGTTTTAGAAAAATTGGTCCAAACGGGTCCTGCCCATTACAGTGTCGTCGGGCTGATAGTTGAAGTCAGAGGCCGAGTTCAAAATAAGTGTTAATCCAAAAACATTTATAGTGACAATAATCATAATTTATAATAAATATTGAGAAGAAGAGATATTGGTATGGCTATATTTCTGTAATCTTGTGTATATTTAATATTTAGTTTATGATCTGCAGTAGCGGTTACTTCTGCCCTCCGTTTAACTCCTTTTAATTGCTTAAGACAAGCTTCGCAGTTACTGTGGTCAGAATTATACCCCTGAACCAAAAGAAATGTTTATGTATAAAGATGATACCAAAAATTATAAAATATATGGCTATATTGCAGTAGTCTTGTGTACATTTAGTATTTACACTAATAAATGTTATTATTATTATTATATAATTTATTTGGTTTTTATTTGATATTATTGCATGAATTCTTAAGCTATTTGATTAATGAACAAAAAAATGTATCAACAAGGTATATTTAAAAAACTCAAAAGACTGCGATGTGTAATAAAGCTCTCCGTGGATTTGGATTTCTCCAATTTGCTTAGTAATTTTATATTTTTCTCTAGAATGTTCTATTTTAGAATATTGTTTTGCCATTTAGAACCCTCGTTAATCTTGCTCAGTGAAGCTCATTCAGGTTATATTGTTATCAGTATTATGTATTTTCTATAGTAATATTAGCTAAAAATTATATCATCATGTATATTATATATATTATTGCGCAGAGTAATCTCTCAGAGATAATACTCAGATTAATTCAATAATATTACGTTAGAAAATATGAAATTAAAAATGCATGTTGTATAATTTATTTAAAAGAGTTAACAACTTAAAAACTGATAACAATAAAAAATAAATAAAATCCAAAAGTGTTGTTTTGAAACTAATTAAAATTACGTGAAAATGATATTTTCAAAAACGTCATTGTTTTCTGAAATAATGAGTGACGTCTTACGAAAAATGGATCGATTACACACGCCCTTTACGCGTCTTTTTAACTTTTTTCTTGTTTTTTAATTACGGTGTTTAAATATGCATCAAAAGGAACCTTAATAAATAATTCTAAGTTTCTATATACAAGTTAACGTGACTTACAGTGTTGTCCATATATTGTTTTTATAGTAAAACCTTTTTTTATCGAAATATTTCCATTTTTTCTTGAACATTTTTCTCGCATGAATATATATTTTTTTTTAACTTTTACTACAATTAATCCGAAGTTTAAATACCTTAAAATAATTAACAAATATAGATACAATTTTTTTTTTATTTTTTACACTCACCCAAAAGAAAAGTTTCAATTTTTTTTATGTTTTTTTTTAACTTTGACAGACTGTTTTTAAAAATTACTCAACATCTTTACCATAATGGCATAATATATTATATTCAATGCACAGAGCCCGTAAAGAAAGTTTCCAGCTATTCAAAAATAAAATTTTGGTTTGCATCTGTTTATGGATATAGTTTATAAAAATTAGTTACTTCAAACAAAACTTGGTTATCATATAATAGTAATTTATTGACTTTACAGCAGAATTCAGTTTATTTTTTAGTCACTTAATTCCACATCTGAAAATGATTGGTTTAGATTACAACCTTCGAAAGACTGAGGTAATACTTATAGAGATTTTACATCTTCCAATGTGTATATTTCTAATTTTCGGAATTTTGATAAAGTTTATCAAAATTTGAACTGTAAATACTTATTTTCCTTAAGAAAACTTACGCACGAAGGGTTTCGTACCATCATCTATAAACATGTTAGCAACACTGCCTATATTATATATTTTTATAATTTTAGTATTTGTTGTTATAGCGGCAACAGAAATACATAATCTGTGAAAATTTCAACTTTTTAACTTTCATGGTTCATTAGATACTGCAGCCTGGTGACAGAAGGAAGGACGGACGGACGGAGAGCTAGTAATAGGGTTCCGTTTTACCGTACGGATCCCTAAAAACCATGCCTACTAATCTTTAATATTTTATAATCAATATTATAACAACTTTTGAGGAACCCTGTATTGCATTTTCACCTAGTTAAAACATTTTTATTTTCGCTCATAGGAAATAACATTAGAAACGCGGGTAAGTATATGTCACTCTGCGGTCTGGCTTATTGCGACAAAATACGAAAAAATCAGCAAATTAGCAAATTATTTTGGGTTGAGAATTCATAAAATTTTTGTTTTTAAATCTAAGATTTGAAAATGTAATACAAGATTATTCATAAGTTTACCTTTATCAAAAAAAAAAAAAATGTCTACAAACAAATCAAATTAAATTTTTATGAGAGTTTAAGTTCATATTTTCACAATATTGGATATTCACTCGATTTCTCATGTAGCGGATTTGTTATTTTGTTGTTATTCAACAACGAATAACTGTAGACACAATAAATTACAATTTTACTGAATTTTTATATTTTTATATTGTTTCTTTTGTAGCTGTTTACGGATATTGTCAGTTTTCAATTTTTTAGTTTTATTTTCTATTAATATCAATACAATTGTATTTGTTGTGTAAAAAATCTTGAAAATTTAATGCAAGGCTCATATGAGTCATGATATACTGTTATAATATAAAAAATACTAAAATACATATGCACAATTTTTTTTTTATTAATTACCCGCGGCAACTTAGGCCATTGGGTGGTTTCTATTGTGGTGACTGGGGGAGGGTACTGTAAGTTTTTAAACACTTGTGTTTTGGTTTGGCAGATTTGTTAGTGGGCACCCGTATGTTTCTGCCATGCCCGGGTATGGGGGGTGGCGGCACTTCTCTCCGGACACTGTGACTTGCCCGAAGAAAAATGCCGCCCGACGTCCTAATCCACTCGGCCACTCTGTCCTCCAATTTTTTTTATGAACATTTAAAGTTCGAATTTTGACAAAATTTAATAATTATTTTGTAGTTATTAACTTTTATAAAACAAGGTTCCACGTAAATAGGTAAATATATAAATTACTTTGTTCACAATAACATCATAAAATATACTTAGTAATATCATATAGGCTGACT